ACACACACACACTCACACACACACACTCACACACACACACAAACACACACACAGATCGCAGGGCTGGAGAACAGCAAGTTCTTGCTCATGCAAATGGGTCCAAAATGAGGAAACACCAGCAGGAGCACAAACATCACAGACACACAAAAAAAGTGTGTGTGTGTGTGAGTCTGACAGTAGGAATGTTGTCAAATTCTGCACATTATCAAGCAATCAACATATACATCTATAGCACATTTAAAAACAACAAGTTGACTAAAGTGCTTTACCCTCGCAAATTTACAAAACACCTACACACCAACACATTAAAACACAAAACCCATCTGAGGACGGCTATATGCAACAGAGTAGAGGTGCGTCTTCAGCATTGATTTAAAGCCTTCAGTCGAGTCACAGGATCTGATGTGCAGCGGAGGCTATTCCACAGGCACCATCTCCTTTAGTTCTCAACCGCGACTTCGGGACACTTAAGAGGCGACTCTGAGACGATCCTAAAGGTCTGCAGCATGATGATGCTGTAACAGGCTGGAGATTTATTCTGGAGCAAGTCCACGTAAACCTTTAGAAACCATTAACAAAACATCTGCAATAAAGTGATCAAACGAGATGAGGTTCATCCACTGCATTATACAAAATCACACGTCAACACACAATTATCACACACATCGTAAACAATGTTTTCTTTAAAACACATTGATTCTTTTATAATCATCATGCACCATTTTCACCAACTTTTCAACTAAAAATGGAAAGATTTTATGCGTTTTGGCCGTTCATTTAAACAACAACAGTTAGAAAACACAGATTTTTAAAAACTGTTTCTCTACAAAGTGACATCAACTACAGGCCTGGCATGAACAATGCAGCGAATAAACACCGTTTGCGTGGATCCGTGTGAACGGTGATTATATTAAAGTTTCAAAAATGCAAAATCGTTTTGTAGCACATCAAAGAAACAACACGGTTGCTTGGCTTTTTTTAATTTTTGGAATTTTCCACAACATCCATATAAGCAAATTATGTCGTGCACCAACGCAAAGACACCGCTGAGGTTAAACCAAATAAAACAAAAACAAAAAAAGTGGTTTGTGGTTTGAAAAAAAAAAAAATTTGTCAAGCAAGCAACTTTACAATTGTTGGAGCACTTGAGACGGAGTGATCAGTAACACTAGTCAACATATTAACAATGAGCAATAACAGTATTTCGTAATCTTTGTTAATACTAATAATAATGCGACTGCTCATTGTTAGTTCATGTTAGCTCAGCTCCATTAAACAATAATAGCAGATTTTGGATTTTAATAACGTCTTAGTAAATGTTGAAAGTAGATTAATAAATGCTGTAAGAGTATTTTCATTATTAGTTCACTAATGTTCACAAATGGAAGCTTATTGTGAAGCGTCACCGACGGATCCTTGCATATTCCAGATGTTTCTCACATCACATCGCAAAACAACTACAACTGTTTGGAGACGGCGAACACGAGGCGTTACTACTGTCACTACAGACACGGTGAAGCGGCTCATGAACTTACACACACTCAATATGCAAACACACTCAAACATAAAACACAGAACTGAACTGATATCCTTCACACACACACACACTGTATCCGAGTCGAGCGGACGGAGAGACGGAGAAAGGAAGCGCAGCAACATGATTCAGCATGCAGCATACGGGGATTATCGGCATGGCAACCGCGCAAGAGTGTGTGTGTGTGTGTTGTGCTGAGTAAGCAAGTGTTTCCTGCACACAGAGCACGACAGCAGCGATACAGAAGAATCATGCGCACACACACACACACACACACACACACACGCTCACTTATATACACACACACACTCTCTCACACACACTCTCTCTCTCACACACACACACACTCACACACACACACACACTTTCCCCTGCAAATATCATTAATGCAGAAACAAATCTCACTTTCATTAATGTACTAGAGTAGTTCGCAATATTTTTATTACATATATTTTAATTGTGAAATATTAATGCATCATGTTACACTGCTGTTCAAAAGCCTGGGTTCAGTAGATTTTTTGAAAGAAATTAATACTTTTATTCATCAGTGATGCATTAAATTGATAAAAAGTGACAGTAAAGACATTTATAATGTTACAGTAGATTTCTATTTCAAATAAATGCTGTTCTTCTGAACTTTCTATTCATCTGTGAATCCTGAAAAATAAAACAAATTTTTTACTGTATTTTTGATCAAATAAATGCAGTTTTAGTGAGCAGAAGAGACTTTTTAAAAAAAAGATTTAAGGTTGAACCAAAAAGGCCAATAATATATTTTTGTTCAGGTTTTGGCTTGGTGTGTCCAGATTTTAAGACACAAAAGCACACAACTTGAGAACTAGATTCCCGCTGTTTCTGCAATGAACATTCAAAGCTGCACTGCATTGTGGGAAACGGAGTGAAGCGCGTCACCACAGACGCAGATGAAGCTCAAACGACTGACAGCGTGAAAGACGCAGCATGACCTGGGTTCAAATGTCATAGGTGACACACACGAGCGCGGTCATATCACATGAACAGAGAGCTTCAACAGCATCACACTGTCTGCGATTCAACAGAACACTCGTTAAACACAAATCATGCTGCTCACCGCACGAGAGAATATCACACACACGACCAGAGACAACACACAACATCATCACTGTACAGTCAAAACACAGTGTGTGTGAGTGTGTGAGTGAGTGTGTGTGTGAGTGTGTGTGTGCGTGTGAGTGAGTGTGTGTGTGTGTGTGTGTGTGAGTGAGTGTGTGAGTGTGTGTGTGTGTGTGTGTTTGTGAGTGTGTGTGATCGCATACATGTTTTTTCTTTTTTCTATGGGATCAGCCGTAGTTCTGCAGGACCCAGGGGCTTTCTTGAACCCCAGTTGACGAAGCTACAGATTTAAAGCATTTGAGAGCATGAGATCTCTAATCCAGAGTGTAGCGAGTCTATAAAGGCTTCAGGTTCATCTGAGTGATTTATCATGCAGGAAATAATGTTATCACGGCACATTCCTCATGTAATATATGATCACACACACCTCCCATTGACCCAGGTGTGTGTGTGTGTATAAGTGAGTGTGTGTGTGTGTGTGTATAAGTGAGTGTGTGTGTGTGTCTGTGTGTGTCAAAGCATGAATATTCACTGCGTCGTCAGGTGGAGAACTGCATCAAACATCGACTCATACATTACTCATCCTCATCCTCACAAAGGATACTGATATCTGGAGATCAGTATGGCTGATGTTACATAACACTATTGTTGAGATGATGTGAAGATATTACACACACTATTCCCTCTGAACCTGTGTGTGTCCACTGACATCAGCAGCTTTTACAACCACACACTGCTAATCAAACACACAGTTATCAGCCGCTGCCAACAGCCTCAAAGCCACCAAACATCAGCGGATGAGTCCGTTTCTCACATTTCTGCATTTAGCAGACGCGTTTATGCGGTTCTCACATGAAGCTACACACTCAGCAGCGCTCCTGATCGTGTAACGGTGTGTTAACAGCTCCGTCGCTCATCACAGCTCAAGTGTTTGTGTTTTACGCTGAACGTCCTCCGGCCTGACGAGCAGATGCCCCGCACTGACGCACAGCGCTCCGTCACCGGCCTGTTAGAGCAGCTAAGAGGAGTTCAAACTGAGGGAATCCTGACGCTGACCTGCAGTGATCCGGGGCAAACCAGGACACACACACACACACTCACACACACACACACACACACACTCACATACACACACACACACACACACTCACACTCATATA